ACATATTTGAAGGAATTTAAAGAACATTTCTTAAGGATGTTATGAAAATTGTGGATAAAAATTTAAATTTTTGGAAATATTTTTCAAGGACCATTCAATGATCGCTCAGATTTTAAAAATAAATTTAAGAACCCATATGGAACCCAAGGGATGCTTTTTAATATGACACCTTATATCTATTTTTTTCAATTTTTTCAATATTCAATGTTGCCAGTATTTTTTATTTATTTTCAAATAGCCATAATGTCGCCCAGTGTTTTTATTTATTTTATTTTAATACTTTTTTTTATTAAAATTATCCTTTATTTATTTAAACTTACCATTGAATGTGTTTAGCATTTCAATCCATTTGACTTTTCCATGTGACCGTGTATGGGTGGGTGTGTGTGCGTTCGTTCGTTCGTTGGTATGTGTTAATCATATAAATTTTCATTATTATGCTCAATTGAATTCACGATCAGACATTGAACAAGGAAATTCAATAATAAAAACAAATGCGAAAATTGCTTAATTAAACGCACACACACGCACACCCTCATAACGGTTGTTGTTGTTGTTTTTTGAATGGATAGCAAAGCAAAAATGGAAAAGTATTGTAAAACATATTTTCTTCATTATTAATTTTTTCGGTGTCAGTGTGTGAGCCAAAGGAATTTCAGGAAATAATTGAAGTTTTGAAGGATTTTGAGATGTGGTTTTGTGTGGGAAATTAAGAATTTTGGGAAGGAAAATTGATGTAAGGCAATAGGCATTTTTCATGTAAATTTTTCTAAATAAAATTTGGTATGCTTTATTGAAATTAAAATTTTATAATAAAATTTAATTTAGAAATTAAAATTTATGTTATTTTCTTAAAGCATTTAAAGGATTTTTTAATTGGCAAATTCCTACTCAGGCGTATGAGTATTATTCATACCAGAGTATGAGTAACATTCTCAAATTAATTGCTCATACGCCCCAAATCTTGATTCAAATTTTCCTATCGCTTTTACATATTTCAAATAGCAATCAATTGATATTTAAATATTTCTACAAACCAAAATTCACTTTCCCCACACCTGCACATCAATTTTCCTCCCCTCACCTCATATTTGGGTATAATTTTGCGAAAATTTTTCAATTAAAAATCAAAATTTAAGCCGATTATTTTGATATCAATGCCTGCCATTTGTTTGGAAATTAGAATGAAATCTTATAAATCACATTTTAATTTGGTGGAAAATATTAAAATTTTTGGGAAGGTTGTTTAAAATTGTGCTTTAAATTGTTTCATAAATTAAAGATATATTATTTATTTGTATATATGTATATGTGTGATATTTTCTTTAAGGAACCTTATGTCTGTATTTTCGTTTTTTTTTCTGTTCTTTTTTGTATCGGTGTTATATCGGATAATACTATTATCTAACTTAATTTAGACTTAGGTTTGTAATAATTAACTTTACTTAGAATTAATTTTTAAATTTTCTACGTATATATTTATATATTATTTTGGTGATTTGTGGAATATGGCAGGGTTATGGGTAGGGGGTTTTTTAGGTTATTTTTGTTCTTTGGCCTCTTAAGAATTTTGTTTAATGACTACAATTATTTTAATACTGTTATCGGTGTCTTTGTTTTTCATATTTAGTTTTTTTTTTAATACAACTACATACGTATTTACTGTAGGTGGACAAACATTTGGGATAAAAAATTGAAAAAACGATTTTGAAAGTACCATTAACAAGGTATAATAATTTTAGAAAAATGCCAGCTCATAGTATTCAGAGAATCAATATTGAAAACATCTAATAAAATCTAATTTTTCAATCTGCAAAAATGGGAAATGCAACTTCACATAAGAATTTCATACCAAGCTAATATGTGTAGCCTCCTCGACCCTCTTAGGTACCCCTAAATTTTAGATCAGAAATGTATTTTTTCTTCCATTCAGAGTTTTTTCTCTCTCTCTCTCTCAAAAAAAAAAACCCATTTATTATCCGATTGAGAGTACATTTTCCAAACAATATTTGTTTGGTCCAAGGACGAATCCTATTGAAATTGGACTCCTTTCAGGAGGTCTATAGAAACCCCCTTTCAGGTGGTTTGTTACTACTGGAAATTTTATGGAGATCGGTTTAGATTATGATATTACTCCCATATATATCTTTATCCGATATCAGGTTTTTTTGTGCACCAAATGGCTAATATCAGTCCAAATGACCTGAATTTTGTCACATCCGACCGAATTTAGTCTAGAAGCAAGTACATCAAATTTGGAGACAATCGGTTCAGATAAAGCTATAACTCCAATGCATATGTTTTATCCGATTTCGTGTTTTAAGTCCCTCACATGCATAATATGCACTCCAGGAGAATAATATTAAGTGCCGGAGATCAGATACTATCCGAAAACACCTCAACAAAATGTTATCGAGATCGGCTCAGGTTTGAATATAGCTCGCCGATATATATCATTATCCGATATCAGGTGTATTAGCCCAAATGAACTGAATCTTGGAAATTCCGACGGAATTCATCCTAGAAACATGTACTTCAAATTTGGTAAAAATCGGTTCAGATATAGCTATATCTCCCATATATATGTTTCATCCGATTTGTTCTCTCATATGCGTAACATGCACTCCACAACAATGATATTTGGTGCCAGACATCAGATACTACTCGAAAATACCTCAGCAAAATTTTATCGAGATCGGCTCAGATTTGAATAAAGCCCTATATATGGGAGATATATCCAAATATGAGACGATTTTTATCCGATATGAGGTTTTTAATGCACCAAGTGACTAATATCAGCGTGATATCCACTCCACAGCGAAGATACTTCATACCAAACATCAGATATAGCTCGAAAATATCTCTGCCAAATTTTATCGAGATCGGTTCAGATTTTTATATATCTTCGATATACATTCGATTGGTGTAGGGTATCATATAGTGGGCCCCGACCGACTTTTGACCTTTCCTTACTGGTTTTTTTTTTACTGAATTTTTTTATATGGTCGTGAAAGTCTTACGAATAGAGACGTATACTTAACGTACAGTAGACGTAAGTCATCCGCACACTGTTTCTCGTGCCAATTATTCGGAAGTTAAAATAGAAATACAATAATAATCTGAACAAGTATAAAAGCTGTAAGTTCGGCCGGAACGAACTTTTAATACCCTCCACCATTTGGTAAAAATTTGGCAATTTACAAAAAAAAAAAAAATAAATAAATAAATAAAATAAATAAATAAAATAAAATAAAATCCGTTAAAAATTCTGTTAAAATCTTAAAAATACCGAATGCCTATACGACGACGTGGACCTGCATAGGCAACTTTTGTCATAAGTTATTTCAATATTTAAATGCGAAACTTGAAGAAAAATCTGTTTATAATGTAGCTAAAATCATCAAAATACCGAATATAGGGGTACCGTTATATGGGGGCTATACGAAGACGTGGACACAGACAATTTTCTGGAATGGGATGAAGTATCCATTACGAACTTCACATGCGAAATTTGAAACAATTTCGGTAAATAATGTCGCTAAAATCATCAAAATACCGAATATCGGGAGGTGCCGTTATATGGGGGCTATACGAAGAAGTGAACCTACATGGCTCATTTAAGAACTTAACCTGCCTACTGGCAAAATATACATGTGTGCAAAATTTTAGCCTTCTATCTCAATTTGTTCGAAAGATAGCGTGATTACAACAGACAGACAGACGGACATGGCTAAATCGTCTTAGAATTTTACGCTGATCAAGAATATATATACTTTGTTGGGTCTGACATGAGTATTTCGAGGAGGTACAAACGGAATGACAAAATTAATATACCCTACATAGTATGGTGGAGGGTATAAAAACGAGTTGATTGGAATGAAAGGGATTGGAGGTTTCTGTTTTTGTTAAGTTTTACATTAAGAGGATATATTTTCAAATTTCTATATTGGTTTCCAATCAGAGATTATTATTATATAATAATAATAATAATAATAATAATAATAATAATAATAATAATAATAATAATAATAATAATAATAATAATAATAATAATAATAATAATAATAATAATAATAATAATAATAATAATAATAATAATAATAATAATAATAATAATAATAATAATAATAATAATAATAATAATAATAACTAAATAAATAAAAACCATCAAGAATAGATTTGTTTTGAATTTTATGATTTAGGAAAATTAGAGCTTCAAAAGGCTCCTGTAGGGACGTTTTTACATATATGTTTGTCCACCATAGTTTTTATTTTCTTAAACGACTAAAATAACTCCTTAGTTGCTTTTTCTTTGAACTGTGAAAAATCTATATAATACATAAATTATATATATATTATATATGTATATGACTTATAACTCTAGCTTAGGTAAGAAATTATCTTAAGATCAAATTGGATGTTTAAAAAAATCGGGTTAAACACTTATACAAAAACCCATTAGCCTGGGGGGGAAATAATTTATTTTAAAAAATATTTTTTTTTTTTCAAATTTTTCGAATATTTTTTTTTTTATTTTTGATAAAATGATATTAATTTGTATATATTTTTCATATTTTTCTTTAATACTGCGCAAACAGTCTTCTTTGTGAACAATGCAGCTAAATTTTGCGTGTGAATGGGTGAAAGAGAAAAGAAAAACAGAAAGAGAAATAAATAGAAATATATTTTTTTCACAATATGGTTTCGGCATTTATGGTCCAAAAAAAAATTACATTAGTTTTTTTTACGTATGGGGGAAAAATTGTTATCAAAAAATCGGTCTACTCTTACAGTGATAATATTTACATAAAATTTTACTAAATACTTTTTTTTTATATAAATTTATAGCTAATTTTTGTTAAATATTTATTACAAACTACAGTAGTTATCTGTTTTTTTGTTTTGTGTTTTTGTTTCTATAGCTTCTCGGTCTAAATAGAATTTTATGGTCTTATCTAGAATTTCATATAATTAAAATCATTTAAAATATACGGGCTTACCTCTTCATCGACCGTACTGGGGTACATGCGTACCGGCAGATTTTTCTCTAAACTGAAATGATCTTCGGTGGTTTTGCGATAGACAGGATTTTCGAAATTCATCGAATTGATGGAGCGTCTACTGCAGTAGCGATAGCCGGAGTAGAGGAGCTGAGGGGAAAATTTGGTAAAAAAATTATTGGTAAAAAAATTTAAATTCCTTTATTTAATTTTTTTTATATTTTTATTTAATTTAATTTATTTAATTTAATTTTATTTAGTTTTTTTATATTTTAATAAATTTATTACTAATTATTATTATTAAAAAATTATGAAATTATTAGTAAAATATTTCATTTCCTTTTTTTAATTTTTGTTTTTCAATATTTTATTCAGTTTTTTTTTTTGTTGTTGTGTATTAGTGAAAAATTTAAATTCCATTATTTATTTTTTTTTATATTTTCATAAAATTATTACTATTTATTATTAAAAAAATGATGAAATTATTAGTAAAAGATTTCAATCGATTTTTTAATTTTTGTTTTTTAATATTTTTCCAGTTTTTCTAGTGTTCTACTTACCACTCCCAAAACCAATGAGGTTCCCAGCAGACTTCCTATCACAATCAGGGCTATATAGCCCGAATCTGGTTGCGTTGTTGTTGATATGACACTGCCATCAGTGTTGTGGGTACCATTTCCGGTGGGATGTTTGGAAACTATTTTAATTGAGAATTACAAAAAAAGAAACAAATTAAATTAATTTATTTGGCCACAATATGTGTCAATTGGCTTTAAATAATTATACCACCACCAGCAAAAAGTGTTTACAAAACAAAATTATTAAAAAAAAAAATACAAACACAATTATTACAACTATTAAAATAAAAAAAAAAGTTCAACACAAACAAAAAATTGTTAATTAATCTGGTTTACAAAATTATGTACTATGGGTCGTATGATTATTAATAATTACAGCGTATGAGTAATTTCAATAGTGTATGTTAGGTATACGTCACAGTGTATGAACATATGATACTAATGAGAAGGCTAGATGGAGTTTTCTATTGGAAAACTTCAATTCAGACGGGTCTTCCAATAGAAATTCAGACTAGTAATTTGTATACCCTCACCCATATGGCTAGTTATACCCTCCTCCATATGGTTACAGAGGATCATTTAGAGGAGAGGTTAGAGGAAAAGATACGGCCAAAACGTCCCTCATCGAAATAATGGTTTTATACTCAGGTATCTTTGGACCAAATTCGTTTTAGGACATTTGGAGTCGATCTAGCGATGTGCGTCCGTCTGTCTGTCTGGTATATCTTAATATTTTCATTAAACTTAGATAGGATTTTAAGATGGACAATATCGGTCCACTCCTTCTGTTACCTCACCCACCAAAGATCGAACTTTTCAAAGAAAATATCTTACTGCACAGTAAGCGAAAAAATAATCCGATTTTGCCCCAACTTTGTTAATCCTAATATTTGTATCAGTGGTAGGTCAAGTACGAAAAGGTTCAAAATTTTGAATAATTATAAGTCTTATAAAATGTGACCCGAATGTCTGATTGTCTTCCAATTACACACATCTCATATCTTTTACTAACACAAGATCTGCTGTGAAGACGGGCGCCATTCCTCCTGGTGCCTCTCCCACAAAGGGTCAAAATTTTGAATATCTCATGGATATTATTAACTATCTCATGGAATGGCTTATAAAACGCGAGACTTGGCACAACTCAATATTTCTATCAACACAAATAGTAGGGTAAATATGGTGGAGATCGGTCCATTCCTTCTGGTACCTACCCCCAAAAAGGGTCAAAGTTTTGAATAACCGAAACGATTATAAATTCCGAAATAAACATCCGGTTCTCTTCATATTTCAAATATCACAATATTATAACTAACCCAAAGTATGGTGTGAAGATGGGATATATCGGTCCACTCTTTCTGGCACCTCCCCCACAAAAGTTTAAAATTTTAAATAACCAGGAAGCTCAAAAAGTGCGAAATTTACATCCGATTCCACTCAGACTTGACGCATCTCAATGATTCCATCAACAGAAGGTCTGTTGCGAAGATGATATATATCTGCGAACCCCTTCTTGTACCTCCCCCACAAAGGATCAGGGTCTGAAATAGCCATGAAGCTCGTAAAACGAAAAATAAGCATCTGATTCTCTTCTGATTAAACGCGATATTATCATTCGATTCCATTCAGACTTGGCTCATCTCACTGCTTCCGTCAACACAAGATCTGTTATAAAGATAGTCGAGATCGGACCATTCCTTCTGGAACCTCCCCCACAAAGGGTCAAAGTTTTGAATAACCAAAACGATTATAAAATCCGAAACAAGCATCTCATCTCCCTATTTTTCACACATCCCAGTACTTTTACTAACACAAGATCTGCTGTGCAGATGGGATATATGGGTCCACTTCTTCTGCTACCTCCCCCACAAAGGATCAACATTTTGAATAGCCATGAAGCTCATAAAACGCGAAATTAACATCCGATTCCACTCGGATTCGGCACGTCTCAATATTTCTATCAACACAAGAGCTACTATAAAAATGGAAGAGATCGGACCATTCCTGATGATCCCTTTCCCACAAATGGCCAAATTTTTTAATAACCAAAACGATTATTAAATCCGAAATAGGCATCCGGCTCTCTTCATATTTCACACATTCCATTATTTCTACTAAAAAACATCTGCTATGAAAATGGTATATATCGGTCCACTTCTTCTGACACCTTACCCACAAAGGGCGACAATTTTCAACATCCATGAAATTCATAAAACGCCAAATTAACATCCGATTGCATTCAAATTTGGTACATCTAAATATTTCCATCAGCACAAGATCTGTTATAAAGATGGTAGAGATCGGACCTTTCCTTCTGGTACCTCCCCCCAACAAGGGTGAACGACCAAAACCAAAACGTTTATAAAATCAAAAAATAAGTATCCGATTCTTTTCATATTTCACACATTCCATTATTTCTACTAACACAAGATCTGCTGTGAAGATGGGATATATCGGTCCATTTCCCCCACAAAGGGTCAAAATTTTAAATAGCCATAAAGCTCATAAAACGCCGAATTAACATTCGATTCCATTCAGACTCTACACATATCAATATTCCTATCAACACAAAATCTGTTATAAAGATGGTAGAGATCGGACCATTTCTTCTGGTACCTCAGCCACAAAGGATAACAATTTTCAATGCTTTTATCTGTTATAACATGCGAAACAAGTCAGCGATTCTTTACAACTTGCTATATCCATATATTTCTCTCAACGGGAGATATAATGTGAAAAAAAATGTGGAGGAGGTACCAGAAGGAGAGGACCGTCCCCCCACAATAGGTCAGAATTTTGATTAATTCGCATAAAATTGAAAATAAATGTTTGATTTTCTTTAAATTTGAACATCTTAATATTTTTCCAGTACTAGATAAAGTGGATTACTTCGGTCCACAATATCTGGTACCTCAGGCTCATTTCAATATTTTCCAAAAAATTATCACATATCTCATTTAAAGTTATGGAAGTATCCGATATAGTCCAAATCTGGCAGGTTGTAATATTTGTATAAGGCTTATGTCAGATATGAAATGGAGAATATTGACTCACTCCTTTGGAAGCCCACCCCCGTTAAGGTTCAATTGTTTGAATCAATCAATTACAAATCAAAATATATTTAAATAAGGGAACACATCTGTAGGCAAAACCGACTATTTTTTTTTCAGCAAGCTTCCAGCTTTTTCACCCATATTTTTTAAGAATTATTTTTTTCGTAGAATCATTAAAAAAATAACTTAGTGTTACCATAAAAATTCAGAACACTAAGTTATATTTTTTAAAAGGGGATTAAAAGGATAAAACGAGGGAAAGGGAAAATAGTATCCTTAATTTTTTTACCTTTACCCCACTCCAAAAATCTCATATATAATTTAAAGCAGGAAAATATTTACACGTATTCATTACATTTCATGAAATCAAGAGTCCTGAAACTATGAAAAAAGGACCACAATATAAAAAGTTGTAACTTAACTAATTATACGCCTTAAGGTTCCTGGCCCAAAAAGGAAACACAAAAATCCAAAAATTTTTGTACAAATTAAATACATTTATCTAAGCAAATAATGGCCTCAATATTGCTCTCATCTCTCCCAAAAACTTGGCCCAATTTCTTCAGTTTTTGTTGTTGCCATTTGAACTTATTTGTTGTTGTATAATTTAATTTGCTGTTGTAGAGGGCAATTGTATTTAAAGTTTCTATCTTGTGTCTCGCTGGTGGTGTCCAGCAAGGTCTGGCAATAAATAAAATTATAAAATCCTTTATGACTTCACGGAGACAGACAGAGAGAGAGGGAGGAAAAAGGATTTCCACATTTTCGGCCATGTCTAAAGGAAAAGATTTTAATTAAATTAAATATCCTTGCAGGCAAGGGATAAATGTGTAAGTCTTATTAAAAATTGTATAATTTATATTAAATGAAAGGCACGTGGAATTATGAATTATGGAAAGTGAAATGTCAAAAGACCGGGTGGAGGGGGTGGATGATGATAAGTAAATACACGTGCCCAGAATGCAGGAGACCATTATTATTTATGACAAAGGGAAAAATTTTGATAGAATTTACTCTAACAAAATACTAAAATATTCAAATAATTATTTTTAATTGTAAGATTAATTATTTTTATATGGAAATCTATATAAACAAGTTAAAAAGTATCAGTCGGTGTAGCCGACAGATGTATGCCCTCAGCCAATGTTCGATTATTTAAATATATTTTGACTTTTGTTGTAATTATTCAAATTGTTGATCCTCTACGGAGTAGGCTTCGAAGGAATGGGCCAATATTGTCTATTTCGTATCGGACCTAAATAAATATGATATAAATATTACGACGTGCAGGTACGGGCTATATCGACCACCTCCTACACTTTATATGAGATAATTAATAATAAAAAATAATTGTTGGGAAATGTTCAAACATGCGTGAGGTACCAGATGTTGTAAACCGAAGTACTCCAATTCATCAAATACTGAAAACAAATATTGAGATGTGAAAATTTTAAAGAAAAAAATCAAACATTTATTTCAAATTTTATACAAATTAATCAAAACTCTTAACTATTCTGAGGGAGGTGCAAGGAGGAAGGTCCACTGCTTCTGGTGCCTCCTCCACAATATTTTTTTCGCATTCATATCTCTGGTTGAGGGAAATATTTTGATATACCAAGATTGAAAAAAAAAAAAAAAAACGTTGACCTTTTTCGCAAGTTATTGGAGATATAAATATTGAAAATTGTAGCCCTTTGTGGAATAGCCACCAAAAGGGGTGGGACGATATCTATCATCTTCGTAAAATATTCTGTTTCGGAAGAAATTTTGGAATTTGTGAAATTTAAAGAGAATTGGATGTTTATTTTGCCTTTTTGATTAAACAAAGTTTTAAGCCCTTTTTGGGAGAGGTACCAGAAGGAGAGGGCCGATATGTACCATCTTTAAACCAGATCTTGTGTTAATAGAAATATAAGAATACGCGGAATACGTTTTCGATTATTCAAAATTGTTAGCCCTTTGTGGTGGAGGTACAAGAAGGAGTGGACCTATATATCCCATATTCACAACAGATCTTGTGTTACTAAAAATAATGGGATGTGTGAAATATGAAGAGAACCGGATGC